TTCCGTGTAAGTTCCGATAAGACGGCATGCATTGTAACAGTTTCTAGAAGTCTTGTCTGGGCAACAACTCATTGCTTCGACTTGAATCTGTGTCATGACAAGACTCACTATGAGCACACTTAAAATCACAGTTTTGCCTTCCATCTTTCGATTGATCAGTTGTTTGAATGCAAAATGTATATGTGGGGAGTTATAAGCTTGGCTTGCTTAAATACAAGTTGGTCTATGATTAGCAACCACAGAATTCATATGATACGTTTATCACATGCTCTAAAGACTATGTACCTGCGTGGACCAACCTCATCTTAATGGATGATTGAACTCTTCTTCTTCTTCTTCTTATATTTTTTTTTTTTACTTTCTTTTGATTAACGCTTTAAATTAACTAGGATAGTTAATAAGGATTCACTATTAATTTCGTTGGAGTTTATGTTATGAGTATTATATATAGGTCTATAAAGTTTGTATATATAACTTCTCGTGTAAATATTTAAATAAAAAATTAAGAAGAGTATGAGTAGTTTGAAGAGGGAAAGATAAGAACATACAGTAAAACCTCTATAAATTAATACTCGATAAATTAATAATCTCTATAAATTAATAAATTTCTCCGGTCCCAACTTGGGACAAGTGTAATTTTAGACATATTTCGATAAAATAATAAGATAATAATTTTTTTGAAAATCATTTGTAAATATATAGTCCCATCAATATTATAAATTAATAATTAGGTAAAATTTCAATATATATATATATATAGACACATTAATTTTTGTTAGAGTTTATTTCTAATATTTTACTATATCAAAAATTATTAGCAAGACAAAATAATTATTATTTTCTTTGTAATTGATTATATAAAATACTAATTATCATGATTAAATCTTATTTTTAAATATTTTTTCTGAAAAAACTTTCCAAATTAGAAAAATCTCTCTATAAATTAATAATTATTAATTTATCGATAAATTAATAATTATTAATTTATCGATAAATTAAAACCTCTATATAAAAAATTAAGAAGAGTATGAGTAGTTTGAAGAGGGAAAGATAAGAACATAGTAGTTTGTTAAAACGTGTTTGTGGTACTAAATTTTTTTTTTGTAACATAACTCTTGACTCTTGTGGTTGTAGTAGGAGCTAGTTTCTAGTTATGTGATCTAGACCGATGGCAAATTAAAATATGACACACAAATCCAAATGTACTAGAGCATTGAATAATATGATGGGGGATCAAATAAATGCTTGTTACCTAATAATTTGAGTGCTGTGCTAAAATTTAAGAAACAAATTACCAATAACATTAGATCATTGAAACGATGAAAGTGCTGATTTACATTAAGCGATTTAAACTCAAAACCACTTGACAATTTTGGGAATATATAGTTCATGTCACTTGTAAATAATTGGCTTATTTATCATTTCACTTTTAGTTTGTATTGTATTGTCACACTTTAAATAGAAATAATTGCACTCTCACACGTATTTTTGTTTTATCTTACTTTCCTTTCACAATCACACACTTTCAACATATAGTATAAGAAAATATAAATATCGTATAGCTTATGACGCCCCAACCAATTTTATTTAACAGATCGATGTGATAGCCAACCAATTCTATTTGGGAAAACGAAAATATTTCATTTCTTGAGATTGAGATCGTGCATAGTTATGAATTATATATTTCTCAACAAAGTCACTTTAAACCTACACAAATTTAAAATGGAATGAGAAAACAATATTTGAAGATAATTTACAATTTTTTTTTAAAACCTAATATCGCCATACGATAAAAAGGGAGAAGGTATTGGACATCTTGTCATGGTGACGAATTTTGGCTCCTCACTTGCAGTTTCGTTTAAATTTTGATGAGTGTCCTCATTATTTATTGACTATATTGCTAGTGTATTCGCTTCGAAGTCTTTGGTAAGGTTTATCATCTCGAGTCATTATTTCATCCCTTACTACACGATAATCAAAATGTGATCAGTAAATTAACTAGTAAGAAAAAGGGATTATTATATTCTATGCCACTTTTGAAACTCAAAAAACTAAAACTGCCACTTTGCATTAAGTATTTTCTGTAGTGCCATATTAGGTTAAATAATATAAGAGCAATTGACTAAAATACCCTTATTGGCAGAAGAGAGGATGCGTTGGATTCAAAAAATATTACCAGATGGGACATGTTTTTCAGCAGCAACAGAGAGCATTTAATAAATACAATATAGGCTAATACCCACAAGATAATTGATAAAGTGAGTGATTCTAGAGCAAAACAAAAAGAAAATAAATAAAATATGAGTGTGTTTTAATGGAAGATAAGTAACAGATAATTATTCTGGAAATGGTGGGTATGTATCGATAGACAACTAGCTTCGGTTTTGTCCACCGGAGATCCAGATTGCGATGGACAACTAGACAACATAAAATGTTTGTAGACAAGTTAAATAAATAAATGGGGATAGTTAACGGACAATACTTGTTTTTGTGAGTACATATATATTGTCGTCCACTGCATGTACAATGGACATCGGAGATCTAGCTAGGTAGACAACATGAATGATGGACGAGTGATAAAACAAACTAGTAGACAAGTTGATTATAGACGATATCGTAGAATTTTTGTTGGACAAAATATATGAAGTAAATCTGGTCCATCAAAAACTTACTTCGACGGGTACCGAATGACATCTCTATTGCGTGTTCTCCGAAGCGGGGTGAGTAGGTTATTGTACTCTGGTAAAGATAACATAAGTTTTCTTAAATGGGTGAAGGACAAACACAAGAAAAAAAGATAAATCGTAAAAGATATGGACAACTGTGTTGATGGACATGTTAGGTGCAGTAGATCTGGTCCATTGAAATTTACATTGAGGAGTTCTGGGAACAACTTTTGTCTAGGTATCAGGCTGAGAAAATCTTTGTCTTCTGGAAATCTGGAAATTTCAACTCTATGTTCTTCACCTTCCATATGAGAATATAGAACTAGATCGAAAGTAAAATATGGTGTGAGCAATTTGTGAATGAAAAAAATTGTTTAGTAATAGTTGTTTGTCCATTGAAGAAAAATGTGTGTTGCAGAACGTGAACAGTCAAATGTGGGGAAGAAAACTGACACATCGCTGGAAAAAATAAATTTAAGATGTTTATTCTTAAAAGGGTAAAATTGTCATTGTTTTGTGTTATATGACAGAGATGAGAAGACAATAGAATAAATGGCAATACACATAAAAATTGTTACTGTTCATGGCATTAATCCCAATTTTCTCTAAAAAAAATATCTATAGCCACTTGGCAGTCGTGAAAATTTGTGGCTATAAGATGATTTAATTACAAAAGCCATGAATTTTTTAAGCTACGACGATATAGCCACGAATATTAAGGCACAACCACAAATAGCCAAATGACTTTAGGGATTTTCTTTTACTAGTAGTGTCGATGTCGATATGATGTGTCTAATGCTCCTTTTTCTGCACACATGCCCGCGAGGGTACATCCTCCATTGTTTTGCACTATTATTTTGTTAAGTATTTTGTACAAGTCAACCATCATGAAGTAACCTCTTCTGAAAGCCGAAATGGCACCCAATTTTCATGTTGCAACTAGGTATTTTCACATTCTCCTTGTTGAACCGTTCCTTATAGTCACGTAACGACTCTCCTCTTTTTTGTCGTAGATCATTTTTTTTTTTTGGTTCATGCTACTTAGAATAGCAAAAAGATCTGTCAACAATGCAAAAGAATGTATCGAACCGTTTGGCAGGTTGATGAACCATTACTAGTATTGGTGGGTTCAAGTTCTCTTCTTCTGGAGAAGATGGAATCTATTTCACACATGGCAAAGAAATACCTAAATTAGAATACAAGTGGAAATAATAATTAACCGCTCAATGATTAATGCAATTCAGCATATCTTTGTTTTAATGTTAACAAAAAAAGTTCGTATTGTTGTGATAATACTGTTGAAGAGGAACCTTTGTAATAAATTATTATGGAAGGTACAGTACATTAATATGTGCATATGGTCCTTGGCCAAAAATCACCCATCAACGCTTCTAGCTAACTACTTCAACCACCGCCCTACTGCTATCCATTCTAGAACCTGGATCCTAGAAGCCTTAGCTCGCCCTATGGAAATTTTAAAGCCATTAGTTGGTGTTCTAGGACAGGTCTCACCAGCTTTTAAAACCAAAAGCTCCCATGTTATGGCTTATGCACTAATCCGTGTATATCCCTTCTCGTGCCAGCGAGATTTTCGGCCATGACCTCCATCTAGTCTCTTGACAATGACCAACATTTCTACCATTGATCTCATCGTGGAAGACAGTTCAAATGTGTCAAAGCGTTTCGTAGCCTTTGCCTCAAAACTCTCTTGGATTCTTTTTCAATTCCTCTTATCTATCTTTACTTGGCTTTGGAGGATGCATTGTTTATTAGTTATTTATTCCACATGTATCAGAAGCTCTTCCCAGAAGTTCCATTCAACCCGACCGTATGCTTCAACAAAAAAATTATAACTAATAATTCACTTAAATTATAAAATTTTCTTTAACCAAAAAAAATTGTGTATATATGGCTAGATCGCTGGTGCTTACTTTTTGTAAGTGCTTCTTTTGGGTAAGTTTCTTTGCTAAATCTCGAAGAACATTTTCGAAATTGCTAACAAGAGATAAGAATGGTACTTTATTGTATCGGGCTACCACTTGATGCTAATAATGGGAGTGAAGGTCATAATTGGTTATTAAGATCATGAAGATTCATGTTGAAAATAAATCTATCAAAAGCATTAATCCTTAAAATAGATACAAAACAGCAAAATCGATAAGGGCAAAAAGCAGAAGCGATCAAATGTCAAGAACTTATCAGTAAAACTAACAAGTTTATAAATAGAAACACCAAATCATAATAAATAACATGTGACACACTTGTATAAAAACAACATGTTACTTCTAAATTTAAGAGAAGAATAGAAGAAAGGCCAATTCAGACAGTCAAACAATGAATCGTCTCTTATGTTTTCTACTCGCTATTGGATTTTGCGTAGGATTGACTAACGCAAAATTTCAATGGAATGAGAAAAACTCAGTATTCTCTAAGAGTTCCCTTGGTCGAAACAACGTCTTGAAGATTCATTGCGTATCAAACGACGACAATTTAGGTTTCCATTTCTTGCGTACCGGAGAAACCTATGATTTTAGTTTCCATGACAGCGTTGTGAGATCAGAGTTTTATTGTGACTTATGGCAAGGGCCTAATTTCAAGTTTCATGCATCGTTTATGGCATATGAAGGTGGTGGTCTCATAGTTCATTATGGTAAAAAGAACTATTGGGATGCTAGAGAAGATGGAATCTATTTCACACATGGCAAAGAAATCCCTAAATTAGAGTACAAGTGGAAATAGTAATTAACCGCTCAATGAATGATGCAATTTAGCTCATCTTTGTTTTAATGCTAACAAAAACTTCTTCTTGTTGTGTATTATTGTTGAAAGGGAAGCTTTGTAATAAACTATTATCAAAGATACATTAATATGTGCATGTAACGTATGCATTGCTTTATATGACCATGAGAAATAAATTAAGCTTGACGGGAAAAGAAAAAGCTCAATACATATCGGTATCCAAGTTCTTTGCAACTGTTCTTTTGGGTGAGGTTAAGGATAAAACCGTATCATACCGCGCTAAATTATTGGATTTCAAAAGCTCTTTTCTACAAGCAAATTTGGTTATATATTTTAATGATTTATATCAGATAAATAAACAGATATATATATATATATATATACTTATATAATCATATATTTTATAATCATATATTTTATCTTGTATTTTAAAAACTCACAAATAATCCAAAATCAAAAATTTACTTTTATTAAAAATCAATTATATATTTGGAATTTATAATTTTCAAAATTGTAAATTATTGTTTTCACTTTGATATTTAAAGAATTTTAAAGTCGCTTTTGTGCTTAAATAATTATAATTTTCATTGACATAATGACTTGTTATATCCATTGACATGGACGAATTTATGATTCTTGTCGAATCTATAAATGTGAAACATGAGCATGAGTGTGATTAGACATAACATAAGTGAAGAGAAAAAGTGTGATTAGCAAAGAAATGTGAGTGTGTGTGAAAACATTTGAAACCATATAAGAAATTATGATAGGTGAAATTATTTAAACAGAAAAAGAATATAACTCTCCATTCAATTATTTTGACATATGAGAATTTGTTCATTGTGTATATGAAACAAATGAAAATATTATGTCAAATGCGATATGGCTTCGAAAACCAACACAGTGCCATTTGATATTTAGTCTTACGTGTGGATTTATTTTCTTTATTTTAGATACTGTTATTTGATATAAAATTAAATATTAATCTACTCTATTGTTCAAATATCCTGGTGTTATAAATTTATGTTTTAGTTTTGTAGTCGATACTAATTAGCATCCGCGTATTTTACGATATGTATATGTTTGGAAACTAAGTTTTAATTAAAATATATAGGGAATAAGTGAAGTGACTTTAGTCTGATAGCAAATGATAAGTCCACTAATGGATAAACACCATCACACTAAGGATCGAGTCTCTTTTCCTATATATTCGTGGGGATTAGGTTTATGGGTCGGCCAATTGTGGTCCAATATTGACAAAAAAAAATGTAGGGAATAAATAAAGATTATAGCGTTTGTCATACATATTTCAATTTTCTTATGAAAATGAATAAAATAATTAAGTTAAGTGATGGATGAGCGAAAAAGATTAAGACACAAATACTATTTATTTAAAAGGATAGGGAATAGAAGACATATACAATCTAGGGATTGATAATCTTCTATATTTTTGTCACATACACTGACAATTATTGAAAACTACAAAAGCAACACTGTGAAAGATGCCAACCCCTTTCACCTCCACATATACAGTACGTGGTATCTTCATGGATATGGTTGTTTAGGCAGTTTCCACTGCGTTCATCGAACCCTTAGTGCAAACTGAAGAACATGCCAAGGCACAGTTTCCAGCAGCTTGATTCACGATTTCACTTGCATCTAGTTATTGAAACAAAATTTGAAACGTATCATATATATGTTCTCTTGTTTATTATTTTTAAAACAAATTATAGTAATGATAAGGAGTTTTGAAAAATTTGCTTTACCAGAGTTTTGGAGAGTGGTTAAAGCACCGCACACAGAGGATACACACCCAACTTTGCAGTATTCACTGACAGCATTCCCTTGAGACAAAAATTAAAACAAGAAAGAAAGAATGAAATCTTGATTTTCCTTGTAACAAATAACATACTTAATAAAAGCATTATATTAATTAATTTACCTGTGTTTTCGAGAACATCATGGGTATATCCGTTAGGGCAGCTACCACTATTGACGATTTTGCATCCACAGCCATTTGCACAAATTGGCCTGGGAGCTCCAGTAAGACGGCATACATTGTAACAGTTTCTACCAGTGGTGTTAGGACAGCAGCTCTTTGCTTCGACTTGAATCTGCGCCATGACAAGACTCACTAGGAGCACACTAAGAATCAAAGTTTTGCCTTCCATCTTTGGATTGATAAGTTGTTTGATTGCAAAATGTATATGTAGAGAGTTATAAGCTTGAATTGATGAATTGGTGATGAAACAAGGCTCCCTTAAATACTAGCTGCTCTGCGATTGGCAACCACAAACTTCATATGATATGTTTATCACATGCTCTCTATATAGACTCTGTCAAGCTGCGTGGACCAACCTTATCTTAATGGCAATCTGATACATGAATAAGGATAAATTTTAAAGGATCTTCTTCTTTTTCTTTTTGGTTAACTTAATATTTGAATTTAGGATACTTAATATTCACTATTTCGTATTGATAATGCTGGTAATTATTATGTATATTCTTATAATTTGGTTTATATGCGAGTTCATATTATGAGTATAATGTCTATAAATTTTGTATCACTTCTCTCGTTATTTATTTGGAATAGAGAATTAAGAAGATCAGTATGAGTAGTTTGAAGATGGAAAGATAACAAGAACTAGTTTGTGGTTGTTGGAGCTAGTTTCTAGTTATGTCTAAATGATGGCAAATAAAAATATGAGACAAAAACATCCAAAAAGTTTGTTAGAACGTGTTTTGTGTTTCTTTTTGTTTTAACCAAATATATATTTTTTTTTTTTTGAATATTACATTGGGACCAAATAAATGCCTGTTGCCTTATTTTTGTATTTTCTGTGGATATAACAAGAAGTTTATTCATGCGTCAGAAATGAAATACTCTATATGTGTTTCAGCATATGATTATACTAGAAGTAGACCCGCGCGATGCGCGAGATAAATTTGATATTATATTTATAAAAATTTTAGTATATTTTTTGGAAATCAATTTGATTGAAGCAATTAAGTAATTATCTTCATTTTTATGCACTATTTCATAGAAATAATCAAATATTTATTTGATATTTCCAAATTTTAATATAAAACTAAGTGTATATGTTTCATGATTATTTTGTATTATGCAGATTACTATCTACTGCATAAATGATTTAAAATACATTATAAATGATATTTTTTTTTACAAAAAAAAACAAAAAGTGAAATAATTTTTTAATTTGTATTCAACAAATTCCATCATCAATTAAAATAAGCATTAGAATAATTTTTTTATTCAACTACAGTAAGATACTAAGAGTAAGATTTATAGTCTTAGATCACTACAAACAACTATTTGAACTTGTAATCTATACAAATCTACTTTAGGTTTTTCTCGATGTCATATTACTTTTTCCTTCGGTCTCTCAAAAAATCATATCTTCTAATATTTCATATAGGATAGTATTATATAATGACACATTAATATTTCAATTTTTTTTTTGTCAACAACTTTATATTAATCCAGAGCATCAAAGTAGTCTAATATTAATTACATATACAATAAAAAAGTAAACCATATGCATTCTTAAAAATAGGTTATGTTAATTAAATTGAAAAGTCACATACAATTTACCATAGCCGTTTTGCTCTCTACCACGATTCCCGAGAAAAAAATAATATATTCTATTTTCAATGAAAAAATAAATAATGTAACAATAACATCATGGGAATTTATACATAAATAAATTCTAGGAAAATAATGAAATAATAAAAAAATAAAATTTTAGAGAAGAAATGGAATATATTAAAATTTGAAAGAAGATATATTAGGTTGGTACCAGGTAAGTTCTCAAAGTGTTGATTTCTTTGTATGTTTGGATACAAAAATAGTGGTCAATGTAAAGTTCATCTATTGTACTATGATCGTATAAGAAGATTTCAAAGTTATGGTTAGTTAGCCGTTAGGAGTTAAAATATTTTGTTTTAAAAAAAACTGAAAGACCAAATGTTTTTAACCACGTTTTTTCGTTTTCAAAAAATACTTAGCCCTCATTAACATTTTAACGATATTTATATAATAATTTATTAGATCACAAAAATTAATTATAATGATACATAATATTAAAATAAATTACAAAGAATTATTTTAATACAAAAGAGGTAAGAAAATATTATTTGGAAAATGTGTTACGATTAAATATTTAATTAGAAATTTCATAGTTAAAAAAGAAAAATGCATATAATAATATATATGTAAGAAACTATGCAAACATCAAAAATATATAACAAAATGGATCTTTTTAACTTAATTCTCTTGTTAGGATGTTTGGAACTAATATTTTTAAATCAAAATTTATATTTTTATAGCCTTCAAAATATTTTATTTTACACATCTGTTTCATACTTTCTTAATTTATAAGTATGATTAAATTTAAAAATATGTTAGATTTGAATCATACTTTCTAAAACTATTTATATGAAATTCTTAAATGATCATTTCATTGATTTTTATGCCATAAAACAACATAAAAATAGAAAAATATTAAAGATACATGAATATAATTGAATAGGGTGAGGGAATGATTACTTATATGATGATAATCTAAAATATAAAATAGAGATGAATTTTGAAAAAACAAAAATTATAATAACATAAGATGTATATCATGTAGTCTCTAATTTTTTTACAGTTGAGCTTTTATAAAAGAATATTTAATTGTTTTCTAAAACTCATACAAAAAAAAACACCAAGCTCTTTTTTATATAATAATTGAGAGAGAGAATTAGAGGATGAGAGAATGAGGGAATGATAACTGAGAAAATGAGTATAAATATAGGAAGAGAAGTGATGGGAGTTACAATTTCATAAAACAATTATGGGAATCAGTTATAATTTACTGTGTGCTGAAAAATTCAATGTAAAATATAGTTAATGCAAATTTATATTATTTCAGTTTTTATATTAAAGTGTGAGTTTAATTTATATGACTAAATGTGTTTTGTGGTTTAATTGTTTTTTCAGTTTTTTTATTAAATTGTGAATTAAATATATATAATATATATGTGATAATACATAATATGTATATATATGATTTGTGAATAATATGATAATTATTTTTTTGATTAAATTTTATGATATTATATTCTATTAGACTGTGTTTCCTCTCCCAACTGTTTAATAATAGTAAATAAAATAAATTTTGTTTTCTAAATTAAATTATAGTAAATTAAATAATATAATATTTTTTGGTTAAATAGTTACTTTATCTGAATATTTTAGATGTACTAATTTATTTTTCTATTTTTGTGTTGTCATATGGATTGAAAATCAATAAAAGTATCATTTTAAGAATTTGATCTTAATTTATTTTAGAAAGTATGATATATATCAAACATAGTTTCAATTTTTATTTCTAATGCCTGATTATACATACTTTTTTCAATTTTTATTTCTAATGCCTTATTATACATACGTTTTCATACTTATGAGTATGAATGAAGAAAATATGATATAACACATGCATATGTAAAATAAAGTTTTGATTGTTATATAAATAAAAATTGCAATTTAAACCTTTAACAAATAACTTCTTCTATTTTTCAAAAAATCTCAAATAATATTTTGTAATTCATTTCAATATATGTATAATTATATTTAGTTTGTGATCCAATAGATTATTATAATATTTAATTTATTTAAAATTTGAGGTCTAACTGTTTAAAAAGAAACAAAAAGTACTTGATTCCAAAAAATTATTCTAATGCTTATTTTAATTGATGATGGAATTTTTTGAATACAAATTAAAAAAATATTTAACTTTTTTTTTTTTGTAAAAAAAAATATCATTTATAATGTATTTTAATTAATTTATGCAGTAGATAGCAATCTGCATAATACAAAATAATCATAAAACCTATACACTTAGCTTTATATTAAAATTTGGAAACATCAAATAAATATTATATGAGATAGTGCATAAAAATGAAGACAATTACTAAATTACTTCAATCAAATTTATTTCCAAAAGACATAGATTTCACCATGCTAAAGTAAAGAAAAAACAATTCTCTTTAATTATTTTATTATAAACTTATTTCCCAAAAATTATAAAAAAATATGTTATAAATAATCTATTACCCATATTAATAACTTTAGGAAAAAATACTTTAAAAGGAGGAGGAAATTTTGTTGTGATTTTTGAACTTTAAATCTTAAGGAAAAAAAATCATACCAAAAAAAATTTAACTACTCCATTTTATGTTAAGTTTATATGATATTTAATTTAAATAGAAACTAAAATTAGGGAAAATAATTTTTTGCAACAATGACACTTTTTTAAAAGCAAACAATACATATCTTATAACTTACAACACAATATCACAAATAAAATATTTTTTAGATGTTAAATTAGACATTAATGAAAATGACACATGTCAAGAATATAGAGCGCCAAATGTCGCTTTGTAAGGCAAAGTTAGAAGAAACCTTGTCTTATTATATAAGATTAATAACATGACATGAGATCATTTAGATGATGAAAGTACTAACTACATAAGCTTTAAACTAACCACTTGACAATTTTTGATATAGTCTTTTCAGTTTACGTTAAATGATTTTTCTAGTCTACATATCGAATACTAATGCCTTCGTTCGTTTGACTACAAAAAATATCTACATTGATAGCATACAAAGATAGTTTAGTTTTCGTAACTGCTATAAAAGATTAAAACAAAAATGATTATAATACACTACTGTTTTTTATGTTTCCTATTGTAAGCTGTGAAAATCGTGGAAGGAGACAGCACCGCATAGGTCTTCTTAATACGATGGAAGATGCTTTGTGCTTTGTATTCACATGTAGCAAAAGCATTGTGAAAAGGCTAACATTGTGGTAAGGAAGATAGTTTCAAACCGAAGTATTCAACAATGGATACTTGGAACCATAACCGAACAACTTCAAACATTGTAGCTTGACACAAGCTAGGGAGTTTGGTGTTCGTTCACTCAACACAAAAATACTCTTATGTGCTCGTTTACGGTTTTTGGGGACCTGTGTTTCTTGTCGAAATAGCATGGCAACTCGAGATCATTTGTTCTTCTCTTGTCAGCTATGGCAAAGGGTATACTCAAAAAATGAAAGAACGGTACACAAATGATTAGATACTACTGATTGCGTATCTGATGAAGCATAAAAACACCGAGTAGAGAGGGTTTTATCTTATCACTGTTTTTTTTATTATTAATAAGAGCAAAGGAAATGTTTTATTTTGTAAAAAAAAAAAAAAATTTACTTGAAATAATTCGTGTATAGTACTATAGTCCAATTGTTTAGCTGTTCTTAAAAAAATAATACCAATATTAATCCATTTAACTTTAGAGAATATATACAAACTAACCATAAATCTTAATAATTTTATATATAAAAAAAAAATCACTTTTCTTATTATACATTGTGTTTTATTTGTTTTTGGAGGAAGTTGAGTTGAGTAAAGCTTTCTCACCTAGGATTGTAGCAGTTAATAAGAAAGGTAACATTTCGAGTGGTTAGTGTTGAATATGCTTGGGTTCCAGCTAAATGTTCAAATGCGATTATGAGGGATTAAAAGACAATGAAAATCGAAAAACCAAGTCAGTACCATTTGATATTTAATCTTGCATGTGGATTTATTTTCTTTATTTTGGATACTGTTATTTGATATTAAATTAATATTAATCTACTCTACTCTTCAAATATTCTGGTGTTATACATTTATATTTTATTTTTTGTAGTCGATACTAAGCATCCGCATATTTTACGATATTTATATGTTTGGAAACTAAGTTATAAAATGTAGGAAAAAATAAAGATCATAGTGTTTGTCATAATCTATGTTTGTTTATATATGTTCATACTGATTTCAATTTTCTTGTGAAAATTAATAAAATAATTTAGTTAAAGTGATAGGTAATATTTCGTATAATTTAACTATGGCAAAAGCGAGTGAAAATAGTCGTTGAGCAGAAAATATCAAGACACAAATACCATTAGTTTAAAAAGATAGAGAATAGAAGGCATATACAATCTAAAGATTGTTAACCTTTCTATATTTTTGTCACATATACGACAATTATTGAAAACAACAAAAGCAACACCGTGAAAGATGTCAACCCCTTTCACCTCCAAATATGCAGTACGTGGTATCTTCATAGATATGGCTGTCTAGGCAGTTTCAACTGCATTCATCGAACCCTTGTTGCAGACTTTAGAACAAGCCAAGGCACAGTTTCCAGCAGTTTCATTCACGATTTCACTTGCATCTAGTTATCGAAACAAAATTTGAAACGTATCATATATATGTTCTCTTGTTTATTATTTTTAAAACAAATGATAGTAATGATAAGGAGTTTTGAGAGTTAGCTTTACCAGAGTTTTGGAGAGTGGTTAAAGCACCGCACACAGAGGATACACACCCAACTTTGCAGTATTCACTGACAGCATCACCTTGAGACAAAAATCAAAACACGAAAGAAAGAGTGAAATCTTGATTTGTTAAAAAACATAACATACTTAATAAAGGCACTATATTAATTAATTTACCTGTGTTTTCGAGAACATCATGGGTATACCCGTTAGGACATCTACCACTACTGATGATTTTGCAGCCACTGAGGCTTGCACATGTTGGCCTGGGTGTTCCGGGAAGGCGACAAGTATTATAGATGTTTCTAGCAGTGGTGTTAGGACAGCAGCTCTTTGCGTCAACTTGGATTTGTGCCATGACAAGACTCACTAGGAGCACACTTACAATCAAAGTTTTGCCTTCCATCTTTCGACTGATCGGTTGTTTGTATGCAAAATTTATATGTGGAGAGTTATAAGCTTGTATTGATGATATGGCGAAGAAACAAGGCTCCCTTATATACTAGTTAGTCTACGATTGGTAACCACAAACTTCGTATGATATGTTTATCACATTCCTCTATAGACTATGTATGTACATGCTGCGTGGGCCAAACCTTATCTTAATGGCAATCCGATTCATGACTAAGGATACATATAAATCATCTTCTTCTTTTTCTTTTTGGTTAAGTTAATATTTGAATTTAGGATACTTAAATATTCACTATTTCGCACTGGTAATTATTATGTATATTCTTATAAATTTTGTTTATATGAGAGTTCATATATATTGTGGTTATAATGTCTATAAAGATTGTATCACTTCTCGTGTAAATATTTTTAATAAAGAATTAAGAAGATCAGTATGAGTAGTTTGAAGATGGAAAGATAAGAACTAGCTCGTTTGTGGTTGTATGAGCTAGTTTCTAGCTATTTCTACGTTGATGGCAACATAAAATATGAGACAAAAAAATCCAAAAAGTTTGTTAGAACGTGTTTTTTGTGTTTCTTTTTGTTTAAACCAAATTCTTATTTACTGATTTACGTATTTTCTTTTTGTTTATGCCATTGGGAATTATACCAATAACATGACATGAGATCATTGAAATAGTTTACACAAGCTTTAAACTAACCACTTGACAATTTTTGGAACGCAAAGAAATGGGCATGGCGAGGAATGGAAGATAAGGGGTACGACGAAAATGCTTATCAACTTTTGCTTTAATGCTGCGATTAAGTCTTTTAGTATTTTGAAAATTTTATAGAATTAAAATTTCAATTCTTTTTTAGAGAATACTAGTGATGGACCCGCACGTACGTGCGGAGTTATTTTTACAAAATTACGATTTTTTAAGTAGATGCTATTTTGGTAAAATTTTGTTATATGAGTTTATTTGATAAACTATATATAGACATATAGTTGTAAAATATAGATATTGTATTACATAATAAAATTTTAAAATTACAATTTTAAAATTATTTAAATGAAAATGATAAGTGATATTACGTGTTTATTTTTTAAACTAATCAAAACATTTCTAACTGTTTGCTTAGAGATGTTAAATCGGATTTGGGTTTGGCATTAGTTTGAATTGTTTTATGTGTAGTTTAGAATGGAAAACCCGTCCTGTCCCTTTCCGTCTCGTCCTGACCCGTCCCGTGCCACCCCGCCCCGTCCGACCCGTCTTCTATCTGTCATAAAATTTCTGTCCCATAATCGTTTCTTTTTAAAACATAATCATTTACCAATGTTTATTATAAGAAACTTGGTAAAATATTTAGACGGGATACCCGTATTCCTCGTTTAAATATTTATTTTTATCAAACTAATAAAAATCTAATTATCAATCTAAGTCACATGCTCCCACCATTTTCATTCACAAGGCACTGTCTGTAATCCTAGCATACACAATCCCTGTTCGATTTTTAATTTTATTGATCTTTCAGTTTCATCTTTGTTTCTCATTACTTTCTTCAATTCAAAGATTCATGTTTTAGCCTTTTTGTTTTCTAAAGATTTAAGTATTTCTATTTTCTTAATACATGGATTTATCGTAGTTTTGTTATCCAAAGTATACATTATCTTCTTGTACCTGTCATTTCATGTCTAAATATTTGAAATAAATAGGAAAGTGGAAATTAAATTTAGCAATTTAAATTACATGTCCCCGTATCGTACTCGTAGTTTTATATTTGAAAGTTGAAAGTGAATTTAACTTTATGACCGTGTCTCATAACAATTATATCTAATCATGTTTTTTTTTTATGAGAAATAATTCAGATAATGTTTGTTTCGAATTATATGTTCCCGTCTCGTATCCATTCCTATAAGTTTATATATTTTTTTAATAAATAACACCATTTACATGTAACTAAATATAATTTTAATATATGTAAAATTTCATATAATCGTCCAAAAGTAGAGATTTATACGTCCCAAAGTTGAATTTTGTTCAATATTTTGAGATTTTAAGAATTAAATATAACTACCAATTTTTTTTTTCAACCGGTTATCCAAAACTTATATATCATATTTGTCAAGGATAGTTTAAAATTGTACGTATATGTGAGATAATGTTTGTAGATATTTATTTATTATATCATTTATATCATACCAATTTGACATTTTATTTGTTTTCAATTAGATTAAATCATTAAAAATATAATCCATTTATTATTTAAAAATGGGAGATTCTCATAAATAGTAATAAGTCGTTAAAATCATTTAAATGTGATATATCCACTTGTTATTTAGTTTTAATCTTAATAGAAATTCTATATG